CTTTGCCAGGAAATCTACATGAAACAAATGCAAATCATTGACCTCTTTATCACCCAGAACTCTGAAGCTCAGACACATCAACAGCACACCTAGAATAACTCAGAGTTCAAAACACTTGTAAAAACATAGGATAGATTACACGATAAGTTGATGACGAAAATTAGTATAAAAAAAGTGATGCCTACACAGTTTATGCCTTAACTTATCTTAACAATCTGATAATCAAGTTAAAGCATGAAATGGACTTCCAATCACAACTGCAACCCTTTGTAAACACATGAACATCTGGGCAAAAACTGATATGGACAAGCATCACGCTTCCTTTCACAAGTCCCTTGATGAAATTCTGCGATTGGAAAAGCAGTAAATGGCACATGCATTGTCAGTCAGATTGCACTGGATTTGAAGACACTTCTGGGATGCTAGATGTCTAACTACATCCTCTTACCATGAAAAAGAATGCGAATCATCATCAATAATATTCACACGGACCTCCATACTTAAAAGGCTGTCTGAACAGTGATTATTAAATTTTGCAAGATATTAAGACAAAAAAATTAACTGTTTCTGTCATCACACACAAACGGGAGAGAATCTTATTATGCTAGAATCATCACCAATGATGTCACATCTAGATTTGTGCCTTACATGTAGAATACAAAGAGTCAGAAAACTATAGTTCAAAAGTAATTTTGCGATGAGTTCACCTCAAGAATGGGAACTACCTTACACTGCAAGTTTGACATAGGTTATAGTCAAATGAAGAGATTAACTAATAGGAATAAGAACAATGAACAATATAATCAGAATAAACCAAGAATCAGGAATGAAGAGCAAGGATGTTGTCTAACTTCATCTTGAAGACCTTTATAGTGTCCTTGTTGAGATTGACTACTATCATACAAGGAAATCTATAGCTATAGGTATACTTAATCTTAGCATGAGCATCATATCCTACTGCCACAGCAAGAAACATTGCCACAGTGCCCTAATCCGTGCCATTCCCTTTTAACAGGCTATACTATAGAAGGTGACACCCTGCAGCCCACTTGTTCTATCCACAAGTAACTGACAATCATTCAATATGCAGCAGAGTTGCATCATAACACCATACATGATGTCCATGATGTTCAGAGAAGCGAAAATCATAATCCAAAGGTCTTACCCAGTTGTGCAAAGCCATGAGAGGATTCAACAGGAAGAACCAACGCATGCACATCTAACGAGAGGCCTGAGTAATCCCTGACCTGTGATTCTTTGGAGCTGAAATCCAAATATTAGCATTCAGTATTTATCTATAATACGCATTCAGTATTTATCTATAATACCTTAAACAAATCATAGACTACACAATGTCTAAACGGCAAATGAATGGAAAAGGAGGGGAAAATGGCGAAGAGAAATGATATTCAAGTTACAGGGTTCTATAAAACAGAGAAGGAAACCAAATTCATTTATAATTGCGTAGACAAATTATTTCAAGGCCATCTTTTCTGTATGTAATGAGTTGTCAAAGCGTACTAATTATCTCAAAAGCATGAAAAAGTTATGGTCTAATCAGTCTCTTGAAATATATGCAACTGAAGAGATAAAATTGGAGAATTGTTCTTTACCAAAAAAAAAAAAATTGGAGAATTGTTTGACCAAGAACCATATATGTTTAGTAATTCACAATAAGGATCAAGAAGGTATTTCTCTCAGCGAGTCTAACCAACGGATTAGCTATAAAGATACTGCACTTTGTCTTTTTCCTTAACCAAGGACATGTCGTCCCATTTCTCAAATGGCAATCTGGCTAAGAATATCCAGTCTAGAGGAAATCTACATTTGACAAACAGGGCATCTGAAAATTGGCCAAAAGAAAAGACTGGGCATCTGAAACTCTAATCTTTGTTACTGAGCAAATTCTACACGCATTCATAGCAACCATTATATGGCAGAACACCACTCCACTAAATCAACTATACTTAGGGTGCGTTTGATCCAAAATTTCCATTACTGCAAGAGAAACAAGAAAAAACTCAGAAACATTCATAAATCACGCAGACACTTGAAAGGGGAAACAAAGATGAAATTTCTGTGGAAGCCACCCAATATTTCTGATGATTCTGCATTTTCACCCGGCTCATCAGCTAGAAACCCAAAACAGATTCCATTTGCAAAATATGTCCAAATATCATGCAAGAGATAATTTAGCAGGCTAATTGACAAAGCACTTTGCAAAAGAAGGTGCCATCTAAGCAAAAAAACAAGTTCGCCAATAAAGGAATATGCTTAACTTAGGAAGTTTACATTTAGGTCCTAAGAATATCAATTTTAAGAAATGTTTGTACTCCAGGAAATGGGTTCTCAGGCAAGCAAATTATGTCTGGAGTGTACCATTTAATTCAATTGACAGTAACTAGGCTCTACAACTTTGCAAACTTCTTGCATTAGATTTAAAAGAGGTGTGTTTGGGGTAGCTATGGCTTAAACCTAATGTCCTTGGAGAACAAACAACACGCTGTAAACAGGGGATACTTCGAGGCTTTTAATACGGATGGGCAAGTTCTCTTAGAGAGTTATTGGCACCGGTGATCTGATCGAGAGAAGATTTGCAGATGAATTGTATACTAATACTGGCTAGGATGGGTTTCAATCAGCTACATCTTCCAAACATTGCACATGCACCAGGAAATGAGCCAGTTCATGTATACCACAATACTTTTGACTTATAATCAGATTATTAAGAACAGCATAAATATCAATTTCTAGCTCTAAAATTCAGAGTTTTCATGGCTTTTTGCCCCCCTAAAATTCCCCCCCTCCCGGTGCGGTACTTGAGCTTCTTTCAAAACTAATAATTCAACAAAAAGACATTGTACAGATCCTATTTCACTACGTTTTTAACTTTTATGTCAACAAAATCTGAGTAAAAATTGATGAGCTCTGGACAAGCTTAGGAAACATGAAATTATAGATCATGGCAGCATCAGACAGATGGAAAAATCATACTGGAAACACATGCCATACACCACAATTTAGCAAACACATGCCCTCATGTATGCAAGAAGAGACAATTACAACTAAAAAACAAGAAAAGAGATTTCTTTATCGAGTACACTGCCCATAGCATATTAAAAAGCATTATTTCCTCATAGTTAAATCATATTTTTTTTAAGATGCTATATTTTCCATTTCAAACTTGATGACATCAAAGACATCAAAGAATCTTGCGGCAGTGAAAAATTAGTTCCATAGACCTCCATCTATTTTCATGGTTATATGTAGCAATATATTCAAAGTGCGACAACAAACAGAATTACTACGAAACCTCATCCATCAGTAATCAACAGAAGAATACACAAGCCTCTAGTAAGCTTTAGTTGTCAATTGTCATATGTCACAATTTCAAAGGGGAGCTAAGTAGATACGGTATCAGCAACAAAAGCAAGTTCAGAAACTGACCTAGTGCATGCCTCGGAGCTATTTGAATGCAACCACAGTATTGAGCCACAGCCTCCAAATTTATCATTTGCACAGCCATAATATACTTCCTTTATACCTAAAAATGGTTAAGAGTCATCTAATCATTTATGAATAATCAAATTTTATGAAAGTTTAGTTTTATTTCGGTATGATCAACAGATGTACCAATGATCGATAATGCTGCAGCTCACATTATGCATAGTTCACGTGTCACATAAAGAGAGCATGCTGAGAAGAAAATCCAGTCCTCTGCCACTGTTCAAAGAGAACATCAAGAACTTCCATTTCCGCATGTCTTGTTGCCTAGGAATGGGCAAGGAGAAAAGTAAAGAAAGCATATCAAACTTAGGAGCTTTAACAAAGAGAAAGTTGCTCTTAGTGTAGTTTCAACATAAATTTAGGAAATGCATTTCAGGAAATATATTTTCTCCTTCACGTTTATTTATTTTTTACTCTTGATTACCGTTTGAGTCCAAATCTATTTCCTCTTAAAATTGCCCCTTCCGTATCTGCTCCGTGTTGACTATACTTTTAAGGCTTGATCGTGTTCATCCTTTGCTCGGTATGCACACCAAGTGAAGGAGATTAAAATGAATACATTGTATCCTAGGAACAGGATTTTCGTCAAAGCCAACTGCATTAGATCATGAATCCTATTCGAAGAATCACTGTCTTTAAGACAGAATCATCAATACACCTTATCCGGAAAGTTCGTATCTTTCTTCAAATACCCACAACACCGAGAGTCTAAGAGAGGACCTTATGCATGGACAACTCTCTTTGCTCCTCACTATTAGGTATTCGATCTAATTTCCAGTACTCAAGCATTACATTCTTTAAATTTTATGTGAAATTGCAGTTATCCTCCCTATACTTGAGATTTTGCAAAGTCTCTTAACTCGCTTCCCAAAACTTTAGAATTTTGCATCTCTCACTACACCATTTTAATCAAGAGAGGTGAAGCCACCATAACAACTCGCTGTCATGTGATTTAAAGCAATAGATACGTATCCTGAATAATCTAAAAAATTATAATCTGTTTAGGCAATCAAGTACTCATTAACATTTTCAAGCATGCAATACAGCACAATCTATGAGCACTCAACATTCTGGTTCAGCAGCTTGCAACAGCTTTATTTCTATCCAAAAAATAAATAAATATCATTCCTCTATTCTCTCTCTCTCTCACCTCATTAATGCTTTTTCTTTGACTGTTCTCGGTCTGAAATTCAGACAGAGCACAATGGCAAACGAGAAATGTGAAACATTGAATATTTGTTAGCTGTAGTCATATTTTATGAAAGAATAATGGGAACAAGATCATTTACAGCCTAATAATGCATAGAAAATTGCACTTTTTAACAGATTTGTTCTGATATACTATTTTATCATATATTAAAGAAATATTTAAGGCAGAAACACAAAAAAAAGATCAGCAATAACAAGTGGATAATGCGAGGGTATCAATTCAGAACAACAAAGTGCTGTTGGCCAAAAATTATAGAAAGGTGGAGAAGCAATGGTAGACATACATTCCGTGTCTCATTAGTCCTGTTTCTTCCTATCGCAATAAGGTTCCCTTCCTCAACAATCACACAGCTGTTCAATCAAATTATAATACAAATAAAGTACAATGTGAAATCGTTTACTAATTAAGACTGAAAATACTAATCGTCTTACTTATAAAGTATAGTAACACTGAAATGCACTTGGTTGCTGAAATCAGTTTCTTACCCAACTGGGACTTCAAGGCTATCCAAGGCAAGCTTTGCCTTATATAAGAAAAGGAGAAGAAAAAATAAGCGCATAAGAGTCAGAATTTCTCTCATACGTGCATACAGGCAATTTAAGGGGAAATCAGAATCAAGTTGCCAGCAGTAGAAATATTTTAGTATCAATATGCAGCTACTAATTGAATGAATCCATGTCTCATAGCTATATGATCAAGATCTTGTAATACACTGGTCACAAACTTCCAAATAATGATTATGAATACATACTAATCCCGTAATTCAGATGCAAATCCCACTAACACTTAAACTGATATGACTCTAACAACTCTAAAGCAAAAAAGCCACTAATTTAAGAAAATACATGTTGCTCATTCCAGTATGTCTTATTATTGGTACCTCGGAAGTTTATCTTTCATTAATCAGGTTTTACTCAAACATTCAAGAAGCATCCAGGAGTTTTAGCTTCTCAGTCAATTTCCTTCATAAAGCTATGGCACATAAAAAATAAAAAGAGAATCCTAAGCTGTTGCGAAGGCCTCAGAAATCAGAATCGACAATCAGCTTCTTGCGCTTTTGACTCTATTCCACTGAATAACTTAAGTAAACACCGTGTTTCTTGTGATTTGTTTCTTTTTCTTATCCGCAGTCCACAGGGCGAAAGAAAATAACCACCCAACGAGTTATCCATGGGCACAACCGATGTTCATATTACTCTCAAGCTCCAAGTATTACTTTTCAATTCTCCCTAGTTGCCAAAGTAAACAAGCAGTAAAAGGACTCTGACTACCAAGCAACCTTTCCCGGTGACTGCCATCTTACTTCTTCATTCCTTATGGTTTTGCCTATTCAAGCACCTCATAAAACTTAGTGACAGAGTCCTGTCCCAGTGATCGAAGTTCCTCACAATTCTATAAGCACCCAAACCCTCTCTCTCTCTCTCTCTCTCTCTCTCTCTCTCTATAGATGGTTGTCCACTCCATTGCCTAGTTTCGGTTAGGGAATTACCAACCTATAGCACCCAGATTGGCTCAGTTCTTCGCCTGAAAAGGGGACTGAACAAGCCCATGTATACCCTACTTCCCATTGTTTCACTCTCCCGTGCTTGTTTTTCCATTAAACCTAGACTTCACCTACTTCTTTGAATGCAGTGCTAGCCATCAAAAGAAAGAAAGAAAGGCTATGCCTTCTAGGGATCGTTGCTAATTTCACTACCAAGCATCCACAGACAAAACTTACTAAGAAACACTCAATCAACGTCTCTCGAAACAAATTCGACGACACATTCTTCAAGTTCCCACGCAATCGTAGCAACCAAACGAATCGAATTCAAAATCCATCACAAGTATTACCAATAAACTTAATACACTTCGGATGTGCCAGGCGTTGCCTGATCCATCGCAAGCCGCATGAAGCCCAGAACCTCAGGAGAGAATCGCTCACCAGAAGCTACGTGATCGGTTTCCGTGGCTTCGGATGGCGGCGGTAGTCCGTTGCTCCCTCACCGGCCTCAAGGATGTCGTATCATGCAGGTGGCCTTACCGTCTCTGTGGGCAGGTGGCCATCTTGAAGATGAGGAGGAGTCGGGATGCGGAAGGAGGCGTTGGTGTCGTTGGGAATCGTAGATTTTCTACGGCGGAGAAAAGAGGATTTAGCAGAAAAAAAGCCACCAAAAAAACCAAAACTATCCCCAACCTATGTCCACCGTAACATTTTTTATCCCAAATTTATTCTTATGACATAAAAAGCCCTAAACTTATATTTATAAGACATATTTACCCTCAGTCAAGGTTCCGTTAGATGATTTTTCAATCAAAACAACATCATTTTCCTATTTTATTTAAATCACGTGGGCGCAATGTTAGCATTATTTGCTTTCTGGCGTCCATATAGGTAAATTTTTAACGGTTCACATTAACGGAACTTTGATGGAGGGTAAATGTGCCATACAAGTACAAGTTTGAGATTTTTAGTATCACGAAAAAAAGTATAAGATAAATGTGTTATAGTAAACATAATTTAGAGTTTTTGGTTGCCTTTGCTAAAAAAGAAAAAAAAAATAATATTTGGGTATAATATCCAAAGAAAGCCTCGGAGGAGAAGACCTTGCTCTCTATTTGACTATGTTCCTTAGCAATCCCCAGACAATCTTCCAAGTATTTTTGTAGATCTGCTTCGCTCAAACTATCTTTGTGCATAAGTGAAATCTCGGCTTCTAAATTTGTTGATTCAAGAACAATTTCATAGAGTAAAGCTGGATCTATTAGTTGATTATCTCGGAGAATAACCTTTAGATCGTCCTCGAGTGACTTGCATATTATTCGGAATCCCCACTTTTTCATGTTTTTACCCGAGAGTCTTATGCTAAATTGTGCGTAACTCCCATCAATTTGACCAAAATCGACTTCTTGCCACAGGTCAAATGGTTCGAAATACTCAAGCCAGATACGATGTGATTCCGACCCAAAGCATTCGAAATATGGTGCAAGGTAACTTCGAGGATCACCATTAACATGTGCTTGAAGCATAAAAGGGAGGAATCTCTCTGTCTCATCACCATTACCAAGAGAAATATAAAGAGCAAATCCAAAAAACTTGTCATACAAGTCCTCTGAAGCCATAAAAGATACGGAATCCTCTTCAACAGGGAGGACCCACTCTGGCATCTCTCCTCCTGGGAGAGTAATTAGGTAACCAGGGTAATCAAGAAACTTCTGTTATAAAGATAGAGCATTAGAAAGTATCGAGTTTGTTATTCGTTTCCAAATAAAAAATTCAATTTGAGTTAGTAAGTAATTCTACTGAATTCCACTTCAAACTGGAGGTGTATAAGTGAGTAGAGATCCAATAATCCTTGCTTGCATTAACGTACAAGTCTCATGTGATAGAAATCATTCCCAAAAGTACTGTAGCCACCTACACTGATTATTCAAACCAATGACATATCCAACATTTTCCTTGTTATTGGTATTTCTAGTCTCCAATCAATGCCATATACTGTTTATTTACGCCAAGATATTGACTATATGGTGCAAAATTTTTCTTTCTTAGTTTAACTTTTGTAATGTATTGGTTTTGATTTTATACCATCCTCATGATAACTGATTTAAAGAAAGCAATTTGAAATTATGTTTTACCATGTGATCTAGCCATATCAATTAATGACCATCTAAAAACGATTAATTAATGAAGTTTTTTTTGGCTACATAATAAGTAAATTTCTTATGTAAACTACCTTTTATATATGGTAATTTGCTATGTAAGTTAATTATGCCGCTGTGTTTTCTAACTTTATTTTATTTTTAGTTAATAGTTAATGGTAAAAAGAAATAGTAAATGACAAAGTTTGTGTATAACTACAAAAATGAATTTTTCAAGTTCTAGTCCCAGAGAACATCTAACTAACACCCTTTCATATTTCCTTTAACGAAATATAGGTTGATGGAGGAAAAAGGACCCAATGATTGTGCGACACATGATATAGCCATAGCATACTATTCTATCCAACTTTTCATTACTGTATCGATATGCCTATAAACCTAAGTTCAAATCATTTTTACAAGTTCAAATCACCACATTGGCACATTTTCTCTGTGCTACTTCCAGTAACATAAACCTGCATGTCCTCAGTAATTACCCCATGTTGGTGGGTTCGGCTAGAGGGGGGACTATCTCATCTAGTGGAGATTAGTTGGGTACTCAAAAAACTATGGGATATCACATTGATATAAAGAAAAAACTCTTAGATTGTTTTGATAATTTCTTTTGTGAGAACACGCATTGATATAAACAGTTTGACCTCACTTTATATTTGTTTGCTTTTCTTAAGCGTCCACTTGCATTTTTTGCTATTGCCTTATACAAGCACACACTGGATCCAGCATATACTCCACATCGGTTTATGAGAGAGAGAGAGCGTCTAACCTGGTCAAGTGGGGAAGTAATAGCCATGGCCAACTTTCTACAGACAAGATGGCGAAATGAAGTTAAATCTCCAAATTTTTGCAGAGATTCGCAATCATCTGCCTGAAAAGAATTCAAAAGTGGTGGAAGCTCGGGAATATCTCGTAATTGATGGCATTTTCTAACATTCAGCTGGCACAAATGATCACGCTTAGTGATGGATGTAGGAAGACTAGTAAAATTGTTCCTCTGCAGATATAACCTTTCCAAGATGGGAAAACAGGAAAGATTATCGAGAAACTCTACTTTGGATAAATTACATCTTGAGAGGTCTAAACTGTATAAGTTTGGTAGTCCGATCTCCATACACGGATAAGCTAAGTCCTCGTACTTTGGAAACCCAATTAAATTGGTGCAAGAGCTAACTTCCAAGCAATAAAGGTTTTGTAACTTATAAATGCTAGATGGAACCTGTTCCAGGTTCTTGCAATTATTTATGTACATTTCTTCCAAAGAGACAAGATTTTCTATTGATGTAGGAAGTCTTTTAATAGCGGTCGTTTGTAAATAAAGCTCTTCCAAGCCATCGAGTTTATGTGGAATATCAGGGAACCTTTCGAATTTTGTGCATTTTTCAAGATGGAGACGCCGGAGATTTTTTGACTTCAGCTCATTTGGAAAAACACTAAGTTCAAGGCACTCCCTTAAATGCAACACCTGTAACTTGTTATGATATGCAATGGACTCATGGGCTTCTACCAAGCTTTTGCAATTATGCATATACAATTCCTTGAGATTTGGAGTAAACGAGAGGTCAGGCATGCGAACCAACGACTCACAGTAACTGAAATTCATGTACTTCAAATTTTGGAAGCCCTGCAAAAACAGCAAAACCAGCTTTGATAAACATTCTGAAAGGGAAAAAAGGGGTGTTTGTATGATGATGTTCCTTCCTTACATTTAAAC